TTAACAAATGCAACTAACAACATGACGTAACTAACGACACAGCTACTATGTAAAATAAATGTAGAAAATAGAGGATGATAAATAGAGTTTCAACAATTTTAAATTTGAAAGATTATTTCAATTTTTATTCGTCTATTTAAGCATTTATTTCTAGAGGTGCGATACTTTATCAATTATATCTTAACTTGGTTTTTGATTAAAAAAAACGAATTCCGTGCATGAGATATTTTTTAGTTTTTTTTATATAGTTAGTTTCAATCGAATATTTTTTAAAATACTTAATCTTAAAAATTTAAAAAGAAACTGCACAGTGCAATTCAGCATCTAGTCAATAAAATGATGGATTATAGGACCTAAAACACAGTAAAGTTTCTTATCAAATCAATCATCAATTTTTTTACATTTTCGGAAATGTTAAAACAAAATCCGTTTTATTTTTTATAAACTGTTTTAAACATAAATAAAGTACCAGCGGGGTAGGTATAATGTTCTTTTATCAGAATAACTCTTTTGTAGTGGAACAAAATCATAATTTAATAATAAATAATTTGGTAGTTTCAAAATAATGATCCGAAGCATAACTTTTCGGCTCCAAACCTGCATTTACTTATCAGAACAATGAAATATTTCCTTCGATTATTAGTTTTGACAAAACAAAAAATATGAAAATCATTTAATTTGTTTATTAAAATAATTGAAAATACATTTTTATTGCTATACCTATTTGTTGTATCAGTACAATATGAAGATTAAGATAGAAAGATAGAATGATCGCCGAAGACAGCAAGAAAGCCACATAAATAAATAACTATCAACTGACTATTGGCGCGGTGGCATATTGTAGCCATGCTGGGGGCTGGGCTGCGTATAAGCTTTAGAATAGGGATTCGCTTGACCTTGCCCATACACTCCTGGTGGTGGGTGAGTATACTGTTGTTGGGTTGGATATGTAACATTACTTTGTTGCGGATTAGTGTAAGCATTTGAATTGGGGACTTGTGAGGGATCCACCTGCTGACCATAACTAAAGCCAGAAATGGATAAAAGCGATGTGCTGATTGTTTCTTACCCAGCGTAAGAATACTGTTGTTGGGGGTAGGGCACACTGCTATACGCCATTTGGTGGGGATAACTTTGGGTTGTTCTGTTATAGTAATCATTCAGATTATGATGACTGGTGGCTGTTGACGCAGCAATTGGTTGTCCTTGAGGAATTGGCACCGCAGTAGACCCTGGAACGGGTTGGGGCTGATGACTTGGGGCCTCATTGCTGTTAACTGGGGGCGTCGGTGTTGGTTTTGGCGCTTCCTTAGTCTCTTCAACCCCATTCTGAGGCTTGTCTTTCAAAGGGTCGAACTCGCTTGAGTTTACTTTGTTGAGAGTATTTGGGGGATTTATGTCACTAGATGACTTTTCTTCACTAACTATATGAAAATAATGTGAAAATGTTTTCCGCTAATAGTGGGTTCTTACCTTGGGGTACTGACGCACCAGGTGCCGATGAGGTTTCACTAATTTCCAATGAATCTAACAAGTCATTCACTTGGTTCCTTATTGTTTTCAATTGTTGTTTCAGTTTGTTTATATCAGATGATGATAAAACACTAACAGTCTCACTTTTGTTATCAGTGTTTGGTAGAATTTGTAGCTTTAATATACGACTACATTGAATAGCAAATGAAAGATCTGAACTATCAAAGATTGTGATGAGGTCACCATCTGCAATATAAATAACACTTCAATTGGTGTAATGAGTTTAAGTAAATGTCACGTCTCCTTTAAAATCTAAATAACACGAGCTTGTTAAAAGCATTCTAATTAAATTAAGTGCTTCGAACAACTAAAATTAATAAAACATACCCTCATCTTTATATTTTATTGTAATATCATCACTGGCAAAAAGTTTGCCCTTAAATACTCTCTGCATCATCAACAATAATTCATCATAAGTAATTGCTTCGTTATGTATTGGTATACGTCTAATATCATCCCCTAATTGAACTTTTATTATTAGTTTGCCGCTAAGATCAAACAATTCGCTTTTGGAATCCATGTCATACAATCTTAAATGTTTATGCATTAAAAAATAATTATCAAAAGTAAATTACTTACAATCAAAAATTAATTTTGCAGCAAATTACGTTGATAACAATTGGATAATAAAATTTTCAGCACAAACAATAAATAGAAACGTCAAATGCGTGTCAATGAAACGTCATATTTTTATACACAGGGCCGCCAATGTGGGTAACAAATTTTTTTTTGTTAATTACAAATTAAAATCAAATTAAAGAATTAAATAAAGATTACGTATTTAAATGATTGTTTAATTGATATTGCTGGCTATTTTATTATTTGTTTAAAATGTTTTTTAATTCGTTTCTTTAAAAAATAATAGTGGTTTTGTCGAAGCAATGTTGGTGCAAATGTGTACGCCGATAATTGTTTACGGCGTTTTCATTTTACTAGTCTCTGATTTTAACAATTTTATCGATAATAATTAAAATACAGTTGCTTGCTTGTCGATATAACACAAAGATGAACGCTGAAGTGTTAAGGAAATGTAAGTTTTAGCCTATTGCACAACTTTCTTTATTTTATTTAGTTATCTAAATTTTTGTAATCCTAACCTAAAAAAATTGCAGCTCCAAACAAAAGTAATAAAGAAAATGAAAATGGGGCCGAACCGTCGGCCCCTATTTCAAAAAAAGGAATTTTAACATCATTTCTTACTGGAAAATCGATGGAAATACCAGATTCCGACATTGTAAGTTTTGTTATTTATACTGTAATAATGGACAACACACCATGTTTTGAATTTATTACAGTTGGGGCGGTGTCGATTTGTATCGGAGTTTGAAAAGTTGAACCGAATAGGTGAAGGAACTTATGGAATCGTTTGTATGTTTAGATGATTTTTTTGTTTGTGTGTTTTTATTATTTGCTTTTAGACCGCGCCAAGGATACAATTTCAGACAAAATCGTCGCTCTCAAAAAAGTCCGCATGGATTTGGAGCGCGACGGAATTCCAGTCAGTAGTTTGAGAGAAATTCAGGTTCTCCTTAAATGTCGTCATGAAAATATCGTGCATTTGAAAGAAGTTGTTGTGGGTCGCAGTTTGGAAAGCATTTTTCTTGCTATGGAGTATTGTGAACAAGATCTAGCCTCGTTGTTGGATAATATGCAAGCCCCCTTTACCGAATCACAAGTAAAGTGTATAATGTTGCAAGTATTAAGGGGGCTTCGGTATTTGCACCATAATTTTGTTGTACACCGCGATTTGAAAGTATCCAATTTGCTGATGACAGATAAGGGCTGCGTTAAAATTGCCGATTTTGGTTTAGCGCGGTGGTTTGGGGTTCCCTTGCGTCCTATGACCCCACATGTGGTGACTTTGTGGTACAGAGCCCCAGAGTTGCTGCTGCAAGCACCCACTCAAACAACTAGTGTTGACATGTGGGCAGCAGGTTGTATTCTGGGGGAGCTTTTGGGTCACAAACCTTTATTACCTGGAAGGTCTGAAATACAACAGCTTGAACTTATTGTGGATTTGCTTGGTTAGCTTCTTTTACTTTGTGAGTTTTTATTAACAAAGAGAATCTTAGGTACTCCTTCTGATGCAATTTGGCCAGGGTTTAGTGAGTTGCCTGCGTTGGAAAATTTTTCTCTTAAACAACAGCCCTACAATAACTTAAAACAAAGATTTCCGTGGTTGTCTGCTGCTGGTTTAAGACTGTTAAATTTTTTGTTTATGTATGATCCACGCAAACGTGCTACTGCTGAAGAATGTTTACAAAGCAGTTATTTCAAGGAACCTCCACTACGTAAGTTTTGAAAAGAATGTTTTATTTTTTTAATTTTAAATATCATATTTTAGCTTGTGATCCAAAATTGATGCCTACATTCCCCCAACACAGAAATATTAAAGGCAGTAAAACATCAGCTCCCTCAGATAGTACAAACACTGGTGCTGGTGATCAAACTAATAATTTGCCGGCTATTTCAGATTTGGTGAGGAAAAGTTAAGTATTATTTCATTGCAACTTGTTTTTTTTTTTTTTCAGTTGGGTTCACTTGTGAAGAAAAGGCGTATTGAATAAAGGACTCTATTATTGGTAACCAAATGTTCTGTTTTGTGTTCTATGCAAATGTAGATTGTGTTTATTAATTATTCATCCACAAATAAACGTATTTTTTAAGAGAAATTTAGTAATTATAAATATTTACCTTTCTCTGAATAAATTTTTATTATATAAATTTGGCGATACTGGTAGGTTGGTACCAAAACGTTTGAAAAACGTTTCCAATGGATATCAAAATCCAGGTGAACTCATTAAAAACAAACTAAAAGTAAAAAAAAATTGTGCTAATACCTAAAAATAATAATAATAAATAATACATAGTTGTAAAAATTGTAATTATTTTACATTTACATTTTTTAACAAAATTAAACGTTCAAAAAACATTTGTTATGCTAAAATTAATTTCTAGTAGTTTTATTTTTTGTTTTTTACGCAACTGCATTTTTGGTTTAAGAAAATTTCAGGTAGTCTAGCAGCTGGCAGCTGCATTTTTTGTCTCAAATGATACTTATTTTGAACAATAATTTTGGATTCAACTAAATTCACCTTCCGAGTATATCCTTGGTCCGCTAAAAACATAACCAAAGAAAATTCGAAAGAACGTGAATGTGAGTTTTAAATTTAACAGAACAAAAACGTTTTAAATTTAACAAAACAATATTGTCTAATATATAATAATTTTTCACGTTATCAACTGTAATAAACTTGAGAAGGTATAGTTTTGTGGAAAATTACTCATTTTGAAATTGTTAGGTTATGTTGTTTTAGCGGTTTTTGTGGATATTCTGTAAGAAATGAAATTTTTTGAATTTTCGTATAAGATTACTCTTATCACGGGAGTTTTGTAATGCGAAAGAGTTGTTAATTCACCTATTTGTGTCCATTGACGCAGTTTTATCTACAAGTGAGGTTGCTAAACTTTGCAACAACGAATCGCAACGTTCATGGATAAGACTATTAATTTCTCTATATTTAAAGAGAAGATAATTAAAACCAAGTAAGTTATTTATATTAAAATGAGTGCACTTTGTTAAAGAATTGTTTTTAGTGAACTACTTGGTGTTCTCTTGGAGAAAAATAAGACTTTAGACAAGACACAGCAATGGACACAACAGTTAAAATTAAAACTTCAATTAGGGAAAAATGAAATTGCTAAATTAAAGCTCAGAAATGAAACCCTCTCAAGTAGTTTAAAAACAGTTGAAAGTAATTATAAAACCCTTGAAGAAGAACATACTGAATTAAAGAAGCAATTTAGTAAACTGGAATCTGAATCAAGTAAAACTATCAACAACTTACAAGTAAATTATCAACTTGCAAACCAAGAATTGAATGAATGTAGAGTAAAGCTTACGAATTTGGAGCATGCAGATGATGTAAATAACAAATCAGGTAAAAAAAAGAAAGGGTCACCACTCAAAAAGAAAAACACAAAAGCGAAGGATTGTGCCACACAAACTAATGTTGTATCTTACCAAGTTGTTCAATGGCAATCAGAAAAGGAAAAATTACACAATGAAACGGTGGATCTTCAGCTGGAAGTATATGAATTAAAAAATAAACTTTCTGATTTCCAAGCTGTTCAAGTATGTGTTTTTTTGCTAAAGTTATGGTTGATTTAATTATTTGTTTCAGGAAATTGACGATAAATTAAAAACTAATGAACAGGAGTTGGCAGAAATAAAAATTAAGTTTGATGAAAGTATTAAAAATAAAGATGTCGAAATTAGTCATCTTTTACAAAAAATCAAGGGCATGGAAAATGAAATTGAAAGGTTAAAAGAGGATAATTGCTCAAATCAGGTTGAGTTATCCCTATTACAAAAAAATAATATTGATAAACAAGATAAAGGCGTGCAAGTGGTGGTTAAGGATACCATTGTGAGTAAACAGCGGGAAGAAGGATTGCCAAGTCTTGAGGGCATCAGTGAACACAGAAAAACACCAATTGATGAAGAAGTTTGTGATATATTGCAGAAAATGACCATTCCCTCTAGAGTATCACCTTTAAGCAACCTACAAGAGACCAGTAAGTACTTTATAAAATATTAATTTTTTAGTTAAGCAAGTATCTCACTTTTTGTATCGTTGTCATTTGTGTAATTTGTGTCTTATTTTACTCTGTTTGATAATCAAGCGTGTTTTTTTAGCTGAAAATTTACCATCAGACAACAGTTGTGTAAAAGAAACACATAGATCGCACTATAAAAATAGGGTTGTATCAGCGTGCAACACCAATAATTTAGTAACAATTGTAAATAAAAGACGACATATGTTGAGAAAGAAGAGACTAATCGCCAAACAGAAAGCAAAAGTAGACTTACTTAGTGCACTGATAGCTTTAAAGAAAGCAAACATTAATTTCGTCATAAGCAACGATTCCTTAATACGTTCTAGTACATATTCTCCTCCACTTGCAACTGTGAAACCATATCCAATTCGCGCGAAATTGAAACCAGTCAAGAAAAACAATTTCAAAAGAGTAACAAAAGAATTAAAATGTCCTTTAATGTGTTGTACAGAAACTTACATGGTGTTGAAAGACACTGACTATGAAGAGCCATCTCTTTTGGGATTTGTTGAGGTCAAAAACGAAAACCCATTACAGGAGAAGTGGGATTTTGACAAATCATTACAAGAACCTTTGCAGTGTCAGAAATTAAGAAATAGCGAAGACTGCGTGGCAAGCGATGATCAAAACAATATTACTGTGGAAAATGAACCTGTAGAAATAGAAACAGTTGAAAATAGATTATCAGAAGAAAACTGTAATCAAATTGTTAAAGTCACTTCAAAAAACACGCAAGTTCGGAGGAGTAAACGCACTAGAAGTTCGATTATTTCTGCCCTAAAAAAGCAAAAATCCATAACCAATAAACGGTTGAGAATGACGGACCCTGACTTACCAAGCCGAAACCATACGATCATTAATGAAGAAACGCCGAGTAAAAATAGCGAAGTAACCAAAACAAACGAAGCACAAGAAATTATTTTCAAGAAACCGATTACAACTGCCAAATCGCTGAAAACCAAATTTAAAAGGCCAGTTTGTAGGAGTCGGCGTTCGCCTCGGATAGTTACACTACAGATTGAAACTCGTAATGAAAACATACAAGAAAAGGCGGACGAAAATGTTATATTGGAAAGTCCGAAGTCACCGGTTCAAGACGGCCCTTGCACCGCCGAAAACCCAGTATTAATCCCTCTAGAGAAAGCCCCAGAGAGTGATGAAAAGTTACCGACTAGTAAGATTGAAATGCTTTTCAATAAACTTATTGTTTACGGAGCGGAAGAGGAAGCGTCGAATGAAGTTGTGAGGGAGTTTTCGGGTCAAGAAGCCGACTATATTGCAGAGTATGAAGCTAAACTATAATGAAATGATTAATATGTTTTATGAAATTTGTTTACAGGGCGATTTTGGAGAGAATTGCCGTTGATTACCATGACGCTCCTGATACAAAATACAACCCGGCGCCCCTTATGACCGACGTTCAGCGGACAATGTTGGGTTTTATGTCAAAATTGGAAAAAACAGGAGTAGTTGGTGTTTTTGACAGTTTCCTAACTCTGGCTGAACAAAGGTTATTAACTTGTGACAACTTACAAGAGTTTGGTCCTATCACGAGGCTCTATCTTGCGATTTGTAAGCTTCACAAAAATTTATATAGGATGCGTAGGTTATGCTGTGATGTGTTCTATTTCTGTGGGGACTTTGCGGTGCCATTTTTGTTCAGCGTTTTGACGTCATGGACGGAAGTGTTGCCCCATGAAACCATCTCTAAAGGTAAATCGTAACATTCGTATTTAACTGAAAAATTGAAATTGTTTTTTTAGATATGCCAATAGCTAGGGTTCTTGTACAAATTATATATACAAAAAACTGCAACAAACCGGGATACAATTTAATGCCATTGAGGGATTTATTGATTAAGTTTTATGGATATCCAACAGAGAAGTGGGACGTTAATGAGTTTTTTAAGGATCTTTTTTACGCCTATTTAAGTATGGAATTCCACTTTTTATGCATACTTCTATCATAATAATACATTCTTTTAGGAAACCCTGTCAGGTCTTCAGATTTTGCGTTGCTGTTGTATTGTAAAAATCAACCCGAGAAATGGGTGTATGAGAAAATTGAACAACATATGAAGCCTGTTGTTGCGCAAATCCCTAAAGAAAATTTTAAGGCCGCTGTGATTATTTTAATCGGTAATTTATACAATCGATTCAGTTCCAAGTCGGAAGTTAATTATTTACCTAAAATTAGAGAGTGGTTCAGAAGCTTACTAACAGGTAAGTGACATTGTTTTTATTATTGTTTTTTTTTTTTCAAAAAGGAATTTTAGAAACAACACCTGACGTTGTGAGGCGAAGTGTATATCTCTGCTTAAATAGGCTCAAGAAGAAATAATTTGTAAGAATACAAACACGAAATAAAGAGGTAATAATTTTTCATAATGCGTTACTTTTATAAACATTACATATCCCCGCTAAAATATCAAAATTTTTAATTCACTGTTTTCCTAAACTATCAGTACAAGGTTTGATTCTTTGTTTAATTATTGTTTAAAAAAGATTTAATTAATTTAATTAAAACAGTTATAAAATTTACAACAAAAAAACTTGGGATTTCTGCCTGATCGAATTTATTTCAAAATGTTGTAAGGGCTATTGAAACTATAAAAGATATCTAGAAAGTAAAGAAAGTTGTTAACTAATTAATCTATGTAAGAGTGAGCGTTCTCTAAATTAATATTATGTAGTAAAACACAACATATTCTTCACATAATTTTAATGGCATATGGTTATAATTTTTGCATAAACTTAATAATCGGTTCTTAATCGATACTAAGTGTATATACAATCGACGGTTTCGTAAAATTAATAAATTATAAAGTGGCACACACCAGCAAATGCGCCATCTTACTTGAAATTAACCGCTTCCCCAATTCGTTTATGTGGCAGTGGATTAAAAGGATCAATGTTTCTGATTTGTTTTTCTAAATCTAGTGAATAAATATCAGCAGTCAACTCTTCTAAGGGAATTTCCTTTTCCGCTTTGGCTTTTTTCGTTGCCTCATCAACAGTGCTCCTAATTTCTGTATCAATCGTCTGAAAGCAAACCTTAAAACACCTTCATAATTCCCAAGTCGTGTTTACCTTTAATTCCTCAGGAGACACAAGATTAGCCGTGATAATTTTCTCTTTAAATGAGGTAATGGGATCACGTGTTTGACGCACTTCTTGAATTTCTTCACGAGTCCGATAACTCGTCCCTGGATCTGACATTGAATGACCTGAGTATCTAATCACACCCATCAATCACCGCTAGATAAGACTCTAGGCACCTATTTACCTGTAGGTGGCGGCTTCTAAAACTATAGGTCCTTTCCCTGACGAGCAATGATCCACCGCAAACCTTGCAGCCTCCCTCACCGCCAGAACATCCATCCCATCGATCCATATTCCCGGAATGACGTCCCCTCTGGTGTAGTAGGCGGTGTTGGCCGCCGCCCGGGCCGCACTAGTCCCCATACCATACCCATTATTTTCGCAAACGAAAATGCATGGAATGTCCCATAATTTAGCCATGTTGAAGACCTCAAACACCTGGCCTTGGTTGGCAGCACCGTCGCCGTACAGAGCCACACAGACCCCATCTGTGCCCTTGTACTTCGCAGCTAGGGCTAGACCCACACCTAAGGGAACTTGGGCCCCCACAATGCCGTTGCCTCCGTAGAAATGATCCGTGTACATGTGCATGGAACCGCCTTTGCCTCTGGCACACCCCGACTGTCGTCCCGTGAGCTCGGCGAGCACTCCAAGGGGGTTCACACCCATCAAGTGGCTCCAGCCGTGGGCCCTGTACGCTGTTATGACGTCGTCGTGTGGGCGTAACGCTGCTTTAATGCCAACAGCGACCGCCTCTTGGCCGGAATATAAATGGCAAAAGCCCCGAATGATTTTTTCTTTGTAGAGGTTGCCGGCACTGGTCTCCATTCGGCGAACGGAGTGCATTTGTTTGTAGTATAAAAGGGCGTCATCTCGAGTCAGAGTGGTGTTTGTCGCTGGGCCTTGTTCTAAATTGTGCAGACGGAAGGCCTGAAATTATGAACAATGAAACAGAATTAACCAAACTTGCAAACTCACTTTTGTCTCAAAGGGTGCTTCAGTGGCGTAATTGCTTTTAGCTGAGATCAAACCCAAGGCTTTCTGAAACAAAACCACGTTAATTATTCAAATTAGTTGAGGCGTTTATGTTATACGTTTATAAAACTGCTATAAAATACTTTCTTCATTGTAGAAAAAGCAGGAATGTGATCAATAAAGGTGTAATGTAGACCTTAATTTAACCTTGTTCAATTCTCATTCTCAAAATTTTCTAAAACATTTTCTTTGAAGGAAACTTACTTTCTGGATTAGGGCATTCTTGCCAAAAGTTCTTGCACAGCTGGGTAACATCTTCTGTCTTGTTTGAGGTGTGCTAATACTAAATGATAAGAAGTTAGTTGTATGTCCTTTAAAATTTTTGGTTAGGAAAAGGTCCCTCAAAGGTCGTTGGTTGATCAGCTGTTCACTACATGTCTCGTTATCATTCTTCTGTCTTGTTTTAACTCACGTTGTTGAATAGTGATAGAATTCCATACAACAACGTGATCATTTTTCTGGCGGAAAAATTTAAATTGTCGAGTTGTTTTTTAGTTCCATAATAATAATGTTTCGATAAAATAACTGAATTTGCCAGTAATGGAAAATAGAAGAATTATAAAGTAGTCACGTACAGTATAAATTAAATATTCTATTTTTGTTTTCTAAAAATACGTTAAACCAATAACATTATTAATTTATTCATCCAAATTTTTTATTTCTTCGCACACGTGTGTAACGTTAGACTTACCACATCCGGTATGTGTATATTATTATTCTACCTTTAATAGCAAGAAAACAACTATTTAACATTGATGAATATATGGTATTGTTCAAAAAGGGCCTAAAGTATTTTCGGGTGAAATTATTAACGTCCTTTACCTTACTTTTGAATAACTTAAGATTGTTTTTTCCAAGTAGAAACGGGATATTTTTCTAGACAAGAACTTTTTTAATTTGCTTATTAGAGTAAAATATTGCGAAATTTTTCTGATTAACTCTCAACTTTTTTTTTTAGAAATAAAAGAAAATGCCGATTTATTCATTCGAAAATTTAAACGTTTGAAATAAACTTCTAATAGGTATCTACTGATATTTTTTAGAATAAATTTAGCAACTTCGATTTTGATGTACCACTGGAAACAAATGTAGTGTAAATTATTACTAATAACAAAAAAATAGTCGTGACTCATTATAAGTAACAAAATAAAACTGTTTTAATAAACTATATTGTTGTTAATTCAACAAAAGCATTAAACAGTGAGCTGATTAAGATTGCAGGAACCGTGAAACCATTAAGAATTAGGTACCTACATTGTAAACAAATTTATTTTTCTTTGGTGATAATTCTTCAGAATGTGTCGTATTTGTTCCATTACTGGGTCTGCAATAAATTGCAAATCTGAAGGTTATTTAATGCGCAAATGAGTTCAAACAACAGTATTATTAGCTGCAAAAGTTGAAGACATGCCCTCAGGAGAACTATTTTTATAAACGATGACTAATTGTTTGTTTTAAAACTGGCTTGCACATATTATCATTTTATTGAATTGCGGTAGGCTTCCGAGAAAAAAGTCAGTTAATAAAATAAGCATAATTTAAATTGCGACATTTATATTTTAAAATGTTTTATATAAAATTTATAAATGCAGTCACATAAAGTAGTTTCAAAAATTACAAAAATTAACAAAAAACATTGAGAAAAATAAAATAAAAACTCGTTTCACAAAATTTATCATAAAAGGAACGACAAATACGAAATTTGAGCGCTTTTAAAGCTTCAAGTATAGTTTTTTTTTCGATTATTTTACGATGAACAAGATGCAATTATATAGATTTCCTCAAATGGGATTATTAGTTTTAATAAAGTTATAATTTAAACGTAAACATAAGTAATTAAGTTGTTTTGTAGTGTAAGTACTGCAATAATGGAATAAATTTCTGAGACGTGGTAAACGATTAAAATAATGACAGTAAATCAAACATGTATTAATTAGTAAAACATGAAAAGAAAATTCCTTACTCAGTCTCAGACACAATTTGACCATTATTTTCTTATTATCATCCAAATAAGCAATTGGACGACTACAATGGTAATTTTTCAATTACTGCCGTAATTTAAATGCAAACAAATTCTACAAACATTTCCCATAAAATCTAACAGACTCATATTTTTAACAAGCGCTTAAATCACAACTCTGTAAAAACCCGACAATCTTGTGCAACAAGTATTTTAATCAGATTTCAATGCCATTGTTTATGCAAATTTCTTATACTACGTCTTAAAACTCTTTGTAAATAAAAATGAAATGACCATTCTTTGGCATCACTTCCATAACATCAATTTTTCAAATAAAGAAGAACACAAAGTAAAGTTGACTAGTTTTTCGTATAATCATATAACAAGTCGTATAAATTTTGTGATGTAATAAAAGTGTATCACTCTTTTAAATAATAGTAATAAAAAGAAACAATGAACTACTTATATAAAAAAACAATATTCTATGAAATAATTCTAATACTGTCGTAAGAATTGTTTTCATTTCGGTTGTATGCCACCATTTGTTTCGACTTTGGTTTGCTTCTCAAGGTCGTTTCCGTTGAGTGGTACTTCTTCCTTTTTTAGTTCTTTCTTAATTTTCCTGCAACGCAATTTACAAAATTGGCCACAAAATTTCCGATACTTACTTCCCGAAAGCTTCACCCTCTTCCATGGTCTCTGGTAACGTTCTGTTTAAAGTTTCCGGCAACACCAACGACATTACTCCTCCAATTAGAGCCAAAGAACCGAAAATTATCAAAGGGAGAGGAGTCCAAAATTTGCTCTACAAAATAAAATTTACTTTTTGTCTTGCAAGATTGCGTTAAATCATACCAAAACGTTGATATAGGGTGATGTAATGGAGCCTATTCGAGCACATGTAGAGCCAGCCCCCAATCCTGCATTTCTTATCACTGTAGGGAATTGCTCCGTTGAAAAAATATAAATAGCGCCGTAACTTGCCGTTATCGCCAATTTCCCTAACATGGCACAAGTCACAACTAACCAATCATGTTCTTTAACAAAAATCGTCATCAAAAAAATTTGTAAAGCTTAATTGTTACCATCAGGAATTGCCATAGTAAGTAATAAAGCCACACCAGCAGTGATCATGCATCCACACATTACGAATTTTCGTCCCCATCTGTTCAAAGTAAACAACAAAAATGTGTATGCAGGAATCTCAACGGCGCCTGAAATCACGAAATTAATATACGGATTTCCAGCTAAATTATTCGTGTTCCACGAGAGGCCGTAGTAAGTGATATTGTTGGCAAACCTAAAAATTTAGTTGTAGTCCAAGGATGAATCAATCTCGACGCACTACCAGTCAAATAATATAATTAAAGATCGTTTTCTTAAATTGGAATGTCTGAAAATGTCCAACACGTTGGCTTTATGTGCGTTGTCATTTTCAGGTTTCACTTCTGAAATGAGCAAACTGTCCAATTGTTCGTCAGTAATTTTGATTTTGTTCTTTTTGGCTGCGATTTTGATAAGGGCTTTTGCTTCGTCGACACGATTTTGATTGATTAGCCACCGCGAGGATTCCGGAATCAACCTTAACACAATTACACCAATGGAATTCTTGTAGCCATCAACTTACCACCAATAACAGAAAAATACAAGACCTGGGAGAGTCAGAGCCAACTGCAGGTCTCTCCAATCGTGGATGTAAATGGCAAAAACGGCCGTAAGCATGTAACCAGTTGAGAAAAACATCTGACAGCAAGTTCCAGCCAATAGCCGCTTTTTAGGGCTTACCATTTCTAACGCTACAACCCCAATTTGTAAAATATACAAGAAGTAGTGTCATTTTTTACCGATTACATATGCTACTAGAAAAACCCCAGAAGTTGTGGCCCCCACAATCGCTCTGGCCAGCGTAAATGACCAGAATTCAGGAGTAAAAGCTGCGATTAAGCCGAAAACGACTTGGATAATCAAGGAAGCGAAAAATATTTTTTTGCGTCCGTACCTGAAAAGTTGATTTGAGTTGAATTTTTTTAGTATAGGTGGATTTTACTTGTCGGATAATTGGCCGAAAATAATAGAACCTAGCATGACTCCGACCATAAAAAGCGAATTTCCGGTGGCTATCATGTACGCCTTCTCGCACGTGAGTTCCCACTAGAAAATATTTTTATTGTAATGGATTAAAGTCTGATTAGTCACAAGTGTTACATAAGAAAATTATAAAGCTTACTTCGATAACTGCTGTGTATCCGTACACAGTTTGATCGTAAACAAATTCATCGCATTTTTTTGTTGCATTTCCGAGAAACATTTCGCATGATGAAAAGTTCTTTTTCAGGGAGTCCCAAGGATAAGACTTGTTCAATTCCTCGAGACTCAGGTCCTGGTAAGTTGCGTTGGAAAATTCGCTTGGAAGCTTACACCTAAAATATTTTTTTCAAGTATAAAAAAAATGGATTTTTTTTAGTTTCAATCGATCAATTTTTTTTACTAAAAGGTTACTCCTATACATATAAAAATGAATCGGTATCAACATTTCCTTATTAGTTATTATTACGTACACTATTATTGAATTTTTTTCAAGGTAGTTGTTCGACATTAATCCGCGGAAACAATCAAATTGGTTGTATTGAGATTATAAATATTATTACAATCGTATACAAAAAATACAAACATACAAAATTACGTTTTACGCAAACTGGTTTAAAATAAATATAAAGGGCAAAACCTGCATTATTACAAATTACATTTTTACTGAAATCTGATATTTTTCTCAAAAAAAATTCTAATGATCCTTAAACTATTTGATTTTAAAAATAACCTTCACTTACAGAAAATCAATGCATTAAATGTAAATTTTATTATTGAACATTTATTTTTTTTATTGGGCATGAAACTGCAAGGATTTATACTGAACATAATTTCTATTTTCTTAATCTTTAAATCAGGGACCACCGTATTTAGTTTTACAAAATTGTATTAACTACTTAATACAATCATTCTGTTTTACAAGAGCAAATGTGATATAGCATACTCTGTTATAATGATGATAAACTATGTAGTTTTCATTGGTTTTTCTCACAGAACAATTAACACCGTTATGTGAACAGAATCGTAATCATTTACTCAATAGTCTAATACTACTTTACAGTTCTTTTAGCTAAAAGTCATCTCTTAAATTAGTTCTTTATTAATAAAAAATCTTTTATTTTCATTTACAAATTATACAATTTGTATAACCAATAATAAAATATATAAAAACAAACACCCATGCGCGGAATTTCATTGACAATAAGAAAAAAGTACTAAAGACTAAGCACCGATTCGAGGTGAACGAGCAAAAATATTTTTCAAAAAAGAAACGAAGGAATGCATAAACAAAATTATTTTATCATTCGTATTAGGTGTTGGTTAATTATAATATCAAGCCACTAATCGTAAAGTATGATAGGATATCCATTACTTTGTGAAAATGACGGTTTACTTTTACCGTTGATAAAACAATATGCTGATTATTTTGACGCAAGTATGCAGCGAAGGCCAACTAGTAATAAAATATCCACCAATCTATCAAAAACGGAAGACTTACATGTGTAAACAGTGTTCTACATATCATCTAGAAACCCATCTATCATTTAACAAATTAAAGACACTATGTGTATTTATGGTAATAAAATCTTCCTTGGCTAGGTAGGAATTTTTTTCCGTATACAAACATCGATTAATTTTTTTTATAATATTTTAGACATCGCTATGTATCCACATTCATTAACAAATAAGGAACAAATGTGAGTGACAGTATTTAAAATAATTATCCTGGAAAGTCTAATCTTAGAGCGGCTCATTAATGTGCTAATTCTGTGATTAATCTACGCTTCCACAAGTTTATAAATATTTTATACTCAATTTATCCCACCAAGTACAAATTTTATTATCAATGCTGGTTTAACTACTTAACACATAAAAAGTTCAATAACATTATGTTTAGAGACGGTCATACATTATGCATCAAATTAAAGGGCTTACAAGACATTACGCAACTTGTGCTTTAAACAATTAACTTTATAAGTATGGTGTAAATAGATGATCATTTGAATTTGAAATAAAATTTATTAAATAACAAACATTTTACGCATATTATGCAATAGAGAGCTTCAGGATAGACTCTGTCCTATATGGTGATGTTTATATCCGTTATACTTTTGATTGGATCGTTAAAAATTATAAAACTTCGTTATCACACATTCTTACGAAATAATGCATTGATAACTTATTAATTATGAAAGTATCAATAACTTTACAGTTGAATGAACGGTTATTATTAATAAATGATTCTATTTTTAATAATAAAAAACACGTTTCAGAAACTGAAACATTTTTATTATAGGAAGTTCTGCATAACTATCATACGTTTGATAAAATATATCAAAAAAGTTAAGCCATTAAAATTATTATGATGTGTACTCTTCCACTGTGTGAATAATTCCAATGAAAAACATGTAGGTAATCACAAAAATTACTCTAAACCGGAAATTTTCAAGTGTCATTATAATAATTATTTTGTAGAATATAGTTTCTATTTTGAATTAAACTTCAATATTATGGAAATGCAAACGACAACATCGTTATTATGTTATCTGTAGTTCAAGTTTCATTGATAAATTTCCACTCATTCATAGAATAAAAAATGCATACTACAAATTATACTTATTCCCTTACACGTGAAATTCTAAACACGAACCGTTTAAAATTCAATTTTTATTTTTTAATGGTCACTTGAGCTACTTTTTCCTTTGTGCAGCAGTAATCGATGCAACAATACAGAGAGTATGTGCTAAATGTAATAATTTTAAAAGATAAATAATCCTCATTCAAAGACTTTTATGAGCTTCTTATTTATCATATTACACAATCATAACTTCTCATTTACAAAAGTGAATTTTAGATGCATCGCAGTTCTACCATATGATAACAAAAGTAGAAATCAAGCAAATAATATGAAGAAGATATGGTAATCCTCCTATGGCCTGATTGTCGACTTTTTTTTATTAAAACAGAAACATAAAGATTAAACAAAGTTTAAAATAAATAATTTCTACTTCTTTAAATGCACTAATCGCGTCATTTCCATGTCTTTTAACTATTATAGTAGTAAACTTAGGTAAATTTTCGTATGATAAAACAAGCGTGAAAAAATTAGGTTACAGTGCCATGTAATATTTAGCTAAGAACTAATTACAAACATTCGATTAAATAAGATTCGATTTAAAATAAATGTATTGCGTCTCTATTATTTTTTTTTATTTGGAAATGAAAAACTTACCTGTAGGCAGGTTCTGCAATGAGAAAAACATTTCCCAGCTTATGAAAGGCACAGAGAATGGCTGGAAGGCATAATAAAAAATAAATCCGTTTTTGGTATCTCCCGAAATCGCCAATTAGGGGAATAACATCGTCATATCCCATTTTACCGTCACCTGAAACAAACAATTTCGAATTAAAACTTTCTGATAACTAATCTCTGGATTTTATTTGGCCCATTTTATAGATTTATTACGATTTTTGCGAGATTAATTTCAAATTGCAGCACTAAACCTGAAGTGATTTTTCGAACAAATAATTATTCAAAGAAGTTTTGGGGTTACAAGCACTATAATAAAATAATGTAGCAAAGTATTTCGCATATGTAGTAGTAAAAATTTAATTAAAAAAAAACAACAAAACTAATTGATAATAAGAGAAAATGAAAAACCAACCGATTAAAAAAAATGCAAGACGAATTTAGCGGGTTCGCCGTTCGCCGGCGTAACGACGTTACCTAGCAACCGATTTAAGACGATCTTGAGCCAACTACGATCGAATCAATAATGCCAAGTGAAAGAATGAAACAGCGTTTATGGTGGTAAATTAATGAAAAACTTACCGATTTGATGGTCAAAGACTAGAAGAGCTCACATGTATAAGCGTAACACTCTGCTTCTGAAATCTAACATCTACACGTTCCGCCTAAATCGGGGTTACCAGTATGCAATCTTCCAAATCAATACTTATGCTGACCTCTATGGAAAATGTGAAAAATTGATCTGGTCCAACATAGTGTCACGCCATGCGTTAAATAAGTGCTCGAAACATTCAATCTTCTTAACTTGTTGAATAAGGACCAGTTTTCAATATTTCACGTTTTTGGGTAGCAACCCCTTTGCAAAAGGGTCAAGAATTTTGGCACTTTTTAAACGTAAATTAGCGTTGAATTTATGAAAATACGTAATTTTATGGGCGTAGTACTATTAATCAGCACCAACAAAGCATTGGCGACAAGATAACAAGTATATTAGTGATTTTTGAAACTCATAAGCACTTTAGGGTTTTCGTTTGGGAACCGCTGATTTGGTGCAGTTCCCTAACATACCGGCACTCTTACGTTCACATGTCATTTTCATATGGCAACCTATTTTTGCTCTTTTGTAACATGACAATTCGGCAGAAATTCCTAAATCAGTGACCTGAAATATTGGAAATTATATTGATTTGTGTGAATTGCAATGGTGACGAAGTATTGAGGGTGTTGTGTTGTTGAATGGTTTGTTGGAACAAGAAATATAACTAAAACTTTGTAAACAATGGTTACTTATTTGAAATTGCTATAAAACTGCCTTTTGCTGGAACAAATCTAAGGTACGGGTCAATTCTAGCTTGTTAGATTTCATTAAAGTAGAATTTGTTATGATTAAGTTTGCTGAATATACGCCTCTGCGGTTTTAGATTACAATAGAGGCAGTGATTCACAAAACGTGTATCATTTATAAAAAATATTTTTTTATTTTGTAGAAAAAAATGTCTGCTGCTGGAACTCCATCCACGGACCCTTGGGTTATCTTGGCTCGAGAAAGAGCCCGTTATGAGGAACAGTTTAAATCACTAAAACCCAACAATGGTGTTGTAACGGGGGAGCAAGCCAAAGGCTTTTTCCTCCAATCACAGTTACCACCGCTTGTTCTCGGACAAATTTGGTAAGTTATCCAACCACCATTACAAAAATCCACTAACCCCAAACCACAGGGCTTTAGCCGACACCGATGCTGACGGTAAAATGGACGTGAACGAATTTTCAATCGCTTGCAAACTTATCAACCTCAAACTGCGAGGTTTTGAAGTCCCCAAGGTGCTTCCACCGTCAATTCTCGCATCCCTTAAAACTAGTACCCCACCTGCCATACCTCCCCTTCCCAATCCATCATTAATCAGCGCTCCGCCACGACCAGAACCTCCAAAACCGGCCTTAATTCAAACCCAAATACCTTCAACTCAACCCTTACTACCCAATTTGGGTGGCGGCGTGATGACTCAGCCTCCTATTGCCGGAATTCCCCCAATGATGGCAGGGATTCCACCACAACCTGTAGCCGGCATACCGACCGGCATCGTGCCCCCAATGCAAAGCACTGTACCGCAGGTGCCGCCCTTGATGGCAATGCCGCCTCAGCCGTTGGTCAATCAAGTCATGCCGACTGCTGGATTTGGGGCTGCGCCCTTAGGGGCGAGTATTCCTCCGATGCCTGCTAGCGTTCCTTTAATTTCCGGCAGTACTGCCGTACCTACTGCTGCCGTGAATTTGCCAAATGTCTCGGCAACATTGCCGAATATTCCGGCGACGTTGCCGACTTCTTCGGCAGCGCCTATTGTACCAGCACCGCATATGTCACCTGTCGGTTCGGTTACGGGGGCTATTGTATCGACTGTAGCGCCGATGGGGCCAGGGGCCACAAGTACGCCAAGGTCGAGTATTGCCAGCTTGGACAAAGCTGCATCCGTGGAATCGCTGTAAGTAAAATATTATATAGTTTATAAAATTGTTGTATGTTTATTTGAATACTACTTTTATCGCATAATAACGACTTTTCTCTTTAAAACAAGCTAAATAATGTCTTTTGTATTGTTTTTAGACAAGCCGATTGGGCGGTGCCACATCAAACAAAGTTGAAATATACTCAAATTTTTAACACAACTGATAGAACACGTTCAGGATTTTTATCGGGTGCACAAGCAAGAAACGTTATGGTACAGACAAAATTGCCACAAAGTGTCTTAGCACAAATTTGGTAGGTTTTTTATTTTTTTTAGGTAAATTTAATTAAAATTTAATAAAAATATTTCTTAGGGGTTTATCAGACATGGACGCTGATGGCAGATTGGGATGTGAAGAATTTGTTTTAGCTATGCATTTGTGCGAGCAAGCTTCGTTAGGGAATCCTCCACCTGCGAAACTTCCATCTGAGTTGATACCACCTTCGTTTAGAAGAGGAACAAGAACCGCATCGATTTCTAGTCAAGGCAGCGCTGCTCCGGATCAAGATCCAGCTTCAACATTATTGCAAAGTATACTATTCAACTTTTTAGTATGATTTTTGCAAAAATCATTTTCACAGCTTCATTTGAAGATAAACGCAAAGAAAACTTTGAGAAAGGTCAGGCAGAATTGGAAAGGCGTCGGAAAGCTCTCTTAGATCAACAACGAAAGGAAGCCGAAGAACGGGAAAGGAAAGAACGCGAGGAAATGGAAAGAAAAGAGAAAGCGAGACAGGAAGCGGAAAGAAAAAGAATGGAGGAACTCGAACGACAGATGAGAGAACAACAAGAGCAAGAACGTCTGAAAGAGGAAGAGCGGAAACGACAGGCCGAACAAAGAGAAGCTGCTAGACGCGAAATGGAACGTCAAAGACAACTAGAATGGGAAAAACAAAGATTGCAAGAATTGCAACAGCAGCGACAGAAGGAACAAGAAAACGTTTTAAGATTAAAAGCCAAAAGTCAGAGTCTCACAATCGAATTAACATCGCTAAACGACCAAGTCAAAGAATTATCTCAAAAAATCTGCGACACTCGTCTAGGAGTATCAAATGTGAAAACAACAATCGACGGAATGCGATCAACCAGAGACTCACAAATGCAAGAAATGTCACAACTAAAGAATAAACTCAAAGAACAGAACACAAAACTTCTTGCCTTATCTCAAGAGAAGATTAAACTGGAAGCGAAAAACAAATTAAATGCTCAGATGGGCGGTCAGGATTCAGAACAAGCTAAAATCGCATTCGAAAACAAAGAAATCACAATTAAAAACCTTAAAGAAAAAATCGAAGACATGCAAAAGCAAATTGAAGGGAAATTGTCAGACATTGAGAATAACAATACTCAATTGACTGAGCTTCGAACCCAATTGCAGACTCTTGTCAGCGAATGTGAAAGCTTATACGGCGTGTATGAGGAAAAGAAGACTAAGGTTCAAGAAATGAAAAATGCCAACAGGAATTTGGACTATAATGCGAGTTGGAAGAGTAACGACGCATGGGGTGATAATGGGACGCAGGCGTCCACAGAATGGCCTGTCGATAACTGGGGTACCTCGACAGCTCAACCCACAACAGATATTGTGAGGTATAGAGCTTTGTATGAATTTGTTGCTAGAAATTCAGACGAAATTTCATTCCAACCCGGTGATATTATTAACGTAAGTGCTTAAAAACCTGACACTGGGGTATTACTAATTGCTAACTTAAGGTTCCTACGAAACAAACTGGAGAACCGGGTTGGTTAGCGGGAGAGATAAGGGGACACACAGGCTGGTTCCCCGAGTCTTACGTAGAACCTGTAGATGGAGTCGGCGTTAGAGACGCTCCAGCATCTGAAGTTTACCCCGAAGAACAGGAAATAAAACGATTAGAGTAGGTTCTTAATATGTTTCAATTATTTATGTACTACGATGAGTTTGCAGGGGAATTGCCGAAGTTCCTGAAGTTACCGAAACAACGAATATTACCGCTGAACCACTGTCGAGCGTGACTCAACCAGAGGAAACAAGCGAAGTCGAATATTACATTGCTAATTATCCATATCAATCTCAGGAACAAGGTGATCTGACGTTTAACGCAGGTGATGTTATCACAGTTGTCAAGAAGGATGGTGATTGGTGGACGGGAAAAATCGGTAATAATGTCGGTATTTTTCCGAGTAATTACGTTCAAAAAGTTGATGTGGTAAGTTGATATGCGTTGGAAGTTTGTTTCATTTTAAATGTTTGTGTTTGTTAAGAACTCTGGCACTAACACAACCACTGCGAATACTACTACGACCACGCTTAGTTCAACCGCTGACAATGCTAACACTCAAATAGATAACGAGGTTTCTCAAATCAACGAATACAAGGCGCCTGAGAAACCACTAGATGCCTCTATAACCTCAAACACACAGGTTTGTTGTATTAGTTAGATACACCTAACTTTATGTAAAGTCTGTTTTTTTTAATGGAAATGCCAAACAGTCTTAACGTTGGCACCACTAGTAAATTAATTCATGGTAATTTTAATAAAGGAAGTTGGCAGTTCCGGTTTTTTGAATTAATTTGAAAACAATGTCATTAAACGTCAACACAAAAAATCTAAGAAAATTTAGAGACGAAACACCAAAAAAGGAACAAATTCGGTACCGCCAACAGTTTTGAGAAATTTGGAAACGAATAGTTCGCAAGCAGGAAGTTAGAATAAGGGCCCGTTAAAATGTAGACGCAATTTGTAATGCAGGTTTGCTAAACATTCTCAGTTTTTAGCAAGAAATTGACAAGAATACAAAATAAACAAGAATGAGAAAGAACCTCGGACAAAACGCAATTAAATTAGTGTCTTGTGCATCGTTTTTGAGGAACGAGTTGAAAAAGTAACAATTTTGAAACTAAAGCTGACGAAGAATTTATAAAATGCATCAACTTTGAACTCATTTCAATAAATTACACAATTGCCTATCATCATAATACCCACTTGTATCTTTTGCTAAATAACTTTTTTCTGTATAAACATCCTTTTTCTTCAAAGTTTTTGTAGCAAGAATCTTATTTTTGTCCACAACATTGTACTTCTAGCGGTGTGTTTCTGTCAAAATTATTAGCATTGAATTCTGTCTTTAGACCTTAGGTAATGATGTCTGACCTCAGTTATTCAATTATAGCGCTTTCAAAGAGCAAACAGGCACACAAGATTCATAAAAGTCAAAATTTTGACAACATCTCAATTTGAAAACATAACCATAATTTTTTAACAAAATTTCTAGGGACAGAAACAAAGAGCAAACAAACTTTGTGGCTATGGAGACAAGCTGCTACCAATTTTTTCACCAAAATTTTGACTTGGTAATTTCCATTTAAAAAAAAAAACACTTTGTTTTAATAACAAAATTGAATAAAACAACAAAGATAGGAATAGTACGTTTAAATTTATTATTATTATAAATGTATTATTTTTTAGACACTCAAAGGCAAGAAGCCCGAAATAGCCTCAGTTATCGCCCCCTATCAAGCTACAAGTGCGGAACAGTTATCCTTAGCTCGCGGTCAACTCATTATGATCCGCAAAAAGACCGACTCTGGTTGGTGGGAGGGCGAATTACAAGCCAAGGGTCGAAAGAGACAAGTCGGATGGTTTCCTGCTAGTTACGTCAAGGTTCTAAACAGTAGCGGAAGAGCTAGTGGCAGAACGACTCCTGTTTCGACCACTCGAATGCAACAAGAAGTCGTTATAGGTATTTGACGTCGTATTGAAGTGTAATCCATTATAGATTTTTTTTTTGTATTTAGATAAAGTAATAGCCTTATTCCCCTACACTGCTGCTAATCCGGACGAACTTAGTTTCGCCAAAGACGATATCATTAGTGTAACGGCTCGCGAGGAGGAGGCATGGTGGCGAGGGGAGCTGAACGGGGTGTCGGGACTCTTCCCGAGTAATTATGTGGCCCCATTGCAGCAGCAATGTAAGTAAAATTCATCGCATGCTTCCTGTCGCTTTTATTTCATCGTCAATAGAAATTCACGGTTTTGTTGTTTTTGTAGGAACTTAACAGCACCCATCCTACCATAAGAAGCTGAAATAGTCGGAATTAATAGGAAAAATAGAATTTCTTATAGTGGTACATAAGCTATACTCAGAATGTATGTATATTTAAAAGCTAGTTAACTTCATTGCGCTCCATATTTTTAACAAGATAAGTTGACGTTGTTTTGTTAATTATTTTAAGTTTGAAATCAATCAACTGCACGGCACTGTTACAGTTGTGTCAACACTCAGTTGTTAAACGATGTGATCCTTTTTATTGTGTCAATTTCTCATTGTGATTTACAGTTTTGCTCATTTATTTTTTATTGAATTGTATTTATTTTTAACTTTTCAGTGAGTTTGGTAGGGTGGGTGTTGTTTTATTGGTAAGATCTTTTAATTATTTATATAGCAATAAGAATTTTATTTCTACATATCTTATCAACCACCACCCCACTAAACTACACTCTTTTTGAATCTTAATCTTGTTTAGGAAAAATTTGTCTTTATTAAGTATAATTGTTGAATTACAAATTTAGGGCGCTTCCTTTTTAGCACGGAAACAGTTGTATTGTCATTAAAAAAAATGATTTTATGCTTGTGTGACATTCCAGTCACAATTTACTTCCGCGCTCTCTGATACCTAATGATCTTTAATTGTCTCATTGTTATGTAATTGAAAAAGGAAGTTTAAAAATACTCAGTAATTTCAAAGTTGTATAAATGTATCGCAACATTAAATATAATATGCCACGCCCAGAGTTATTTTCTTGTTTTGTGTTAGAGTAGAGGGTCCCCGATTTTTTACCTTATATTACGATTTCTTCAGCCACCGTGGTGAATAAAAAACGTCAAGATTCAATAAGAGAATTCATTCAAACGGAGAAAGTTTACGTAGACGACATGACAATAGTTCATGAGGTGTTTGAGTTACCGATGAAGAAAAGCGGAGTAATTGGAAAGGACGAAGTGGAGAAAATTTTTCTAAATTGGCAAGCTATTTTGCAATGCAATCGCAACTTTTTGTCGGATTTATACGACTGGACCAGCTCCGGCAGCGATATTTTAGGACCGGTGATAAATAAACATGTAAGTAATTTCGAGTTAAGTTGTTGACATATTATTGTTGATTTCATACAGTTGCAAAACATGCAAGTGTATGAAGTTTTTTGCGGCAAGCAGCTAGACAGTGCAGCTCTTTTACAACGGCTAACGGAAACCTCGACAGCTTTTCGCGATTTAATGAGGAAATGTCAAAATAATGTTGCGACGAAAGGGATGCCACTTTCGTCATTTTTAATAAAACCAATGCAAAGAATTACGAGATATCCTCTACTTATTAGTAAAATTATTGAAAATACGCCCGAAGACCACCCCGGTAAAGAATTTTTTTGATTGGAGAATTGTGTTCAAGGTGCGGTTTTAGATTATGAGTTACTTCAAGAAGCTTTAAAAAACGCCGAAAAGTTCCTGAATGATATAAATGAAAATGTGAAACAGAAAGAAAACCAAGAACGCTACGATTGGCTCCAGAGATGTGTCCAAAATGACTTGAATATAGTTTTTAATAGTGAAACCAATAAACTTGGCCCAAGGAAGTTGATTCACTTTGGAGTTTTAAGCAAAGTAGGTTGAAAAAATCAGTTTTCCAATACCTACCAGGAGTAAAGTAAAGAAAAATGCTTCAGTATTCATTTAGCGCCGCCGTCATCACTTAGTTTTAAATTTCATAAATTCGTTGAAAATTTCTAATTTAGGTATTGGGAAAATATTGAATACCACTCATAATTAAAAACGTATTTATCCACATGCAGACTGTTACCCTCAGTGTGTTTTGTGGATAGAAATGTCTTTATTTGCAGTAGATATAAACAAGTTTTTCTTTTATGTTTTGTGTTGTTTTCCCAGGTGAAAAGTGGCAAAGAGTTGATCGGTTTTTTATTTAATGATTTTTTCCTATTGATTCAACCCAGTAAAAGTTTGGGGACTCAGTTCACATTCCAAAGAAATAGTAATATAAGTTATAAAATGTACAAACAAGTAAGGGTTCATTTTTATTGTGGTCACAAGATTAAAAATACTTTTTAGCCTTTATTAATACAAGATCTTTCAATTAGTAGAGAAAGCACCGACCATGTGGAACAGGGAACGGATTCCAATAGAGTTATCAAAATACAAGACAATAAAAATAAGTATACTTTAAGTTTGTTGGCTCCTACTGTGAATGAATGCAATTTGTGGGTTAAAAGGATCGAGAAATGCAAGGAAGTTTATAATAAAGTGGATAGTCTTTCACAAACTAGACCAAAAACAAGTAAGATTCAATTAGTGTTTCTTTTTGCTTGACAAATTGGGCTTTAAATGTGCAGTATTCAATGAAAAATTGTTTACGCCTTAAATTTGTATTGTTTTATTTTGTATTCAATGGTGTATTTGTGTGCAGAGCCGCACTTGGGGAAATCTTGCGGCCGTCTTCTTGTTCTTGTCCAAAAGGGGAAACGTTTTGTTTCGTCCGGTAAGCAACTCTACATAATTTTTATGCATGTTTTCAGTCCATAGTGACGGAGTTTGGGTTAAGATAACGATTGTTAGCGGTAGAGAACTTTTTTTTAGAAGTAAAAAGACTAACAGTCTGAAGAAAAAAGGTACTTAGAGCATGTGATTTATGTGGTTATTAACATTTACGTAATTGTAATTTTCGTATTGTTAATTAGGTAAGCCCCATACTGACAACGTCTACTGCAAAGTAACGTTAGGGGACCAAAAGCAACAAACGGATCTATCGAAAGATCAGTCTATAAACGGAAATGTTCCTCAAAACAGTGCACTACAAGTTCCGACATTAGTGTGGAACTACAGCATGCAGTTTCAGTTGAGGAATCTCGAAACGGAGGTGGTTACGTTTACGGTCTATGGTTTAAATTTATACTGCCCTGATGGTAAGTTATCGAAGTTATAATTGGGATGGATTCAATTTTGTATTGTAGAATTTTTGGGACGCGCCGAATTAAAAGTAATTGATATTTTACGCGAGACGCAAAACACCAATGGTCCAATCACAAAAAAACTGATTCTGCATCAAGTGGAATCGGGGGAAATTGTTGTCAAATTAGATTTACAAATGTTTGATTTTTGAATTGTTGATATTTGGGAGTTGCAATTCCACCCAATCAAAACGTTAGTTGATATTGTTACTTATACAAATTATACAATATACAATTTAAATGTTTATGCTACGTTTTGTATTTTTCTATTGTTATATCATTTTTATATGATGGAATCGTTATTGTGTACTGTTTATGCAAGAGATTTTATGTTTATTGAGTGCTTTTTCTATGACTTTGTAAGTGTGGATGTTATATCCATTGTGTTCTAAATAGAAGAAGTACTTTTCAACGTCACCATTAATAAGTCACCTGTAATTTTTTTAAGTAATATTAAATCTCTTTGAGTGGAGACAAGTTTTGCTTGTTAACACCTCCTGCTTTGCTCATATTCATATAAAGATATATAATTAGAAGCTACCAATTGATAAAAATCATGTTATTATATAAGAATTATAAAATTTGCTTTAACCAGTGTTTTCACTACATTTACGAATAAAATATTGAAGAATATTAAACATATTGCTTTATTTCCATTACCGCACTTGAAATAACATTTGTTACGAGTATATAAGTTTAAATAAATATCACAAAGGTAAGTTCTGGAATGCCAAGGTGTGTTTTTTTTTTATTTTTATTTCACATGATAAAAGAAGAAAAACAATAGATACAATTAAGTTTTTATTAAAAGTAAAGCTTGCTTTATAAAAATATACTGTTTTACAAAATAAATTAACAATAAATAAATAAATACTTATAAATTACATCATCATTTTTAGGGAAACATTACGATAGTGGTATATTAACATAACATAAAAGTCTTGCAGTCTCTTAATTCTAATGAGTTTCCAATATTAATAAAAAACGTTAGCAACTATAGTGAAATATTCGCTCGCACAGTCTGAAAACCGAATATTTTCACAGAACCCCACCAAACCCCCAATCACTATTAAGAATTTTTTACAGTTTTATTCACTCTGCCCGTTCACTCACTTCCGCTTCTTTAGTTTTTTCTGCCTCATCTGGAAAATTATAAATGGGCTTAAACCCACCAATCAACTGCGGCTTGAAATTCTCAATATCAAACTCGCTAGTTGTTGCAAGTGGCAAAGTCGTGACTTCCTCCCCTATTTCAGTAGTCGACTTATTCTTGTCCCTCACCACAGACCACCCTTGGGACATCGAATCTATGTTGACACTAGCTTGAAACGGCGCTTGGAAATCCTGTTGGATATTTGGCAAATTCTCAGTGTCGCTTTTGTGATTCGGAGGCTCGTCATACTTTTCTTTCAGTTCTACTTGGGGGTGAGTGTGCATCACAGCGCTTACTGTGAATTCGTTATCAGGGTTTCCGTGCCCTAAATGGGCACTGCTGACAGTCCCCAGCCGGATTTCGGGAATCACGGGGCTGCCGTAGTTGGGCATGGAGTACTTGTCGTCGTGTCTGTGGGGCTCAGTCGGGGTGTAGGCCACTGCGATGGGTTTTTCCGTGTAAGTTTTCAGAGTAACCGAAATTTGGTTGGAGGAAGATACTTTGTGGCCATTCACAATTCTGGATTCGATGTTCTCGCCAATGGTGTTCCACTGGTTGCCCGAAACAACGAAATTGTCAGCTTCATCTAAGTTGTTTCCATTTTTGGACGGTACTTCCGGTACCGCGGGATTGAGAACAGAAGGATCGGGCCGTTCAAGAGGATATGGAAAGTCAGATTTTATAGGGAATGTGGGTCTGGGATGAGGTTTCAGAATTGGAGCATCGTTCCGATCTTTTGGATTCAGAATAGGGTTTTGCTCGTAATCGAAACTTTGGTTGATTTTTGAGGGAGGTAAAGGCAGTTCTGCCCTGGTACCAATCACCACACTTTCCTTAGTGTTCGAATCTATCACATCTAGTTTAATAGGGGGTGTGTTGACAGGATACACCACATAGAGGGGTTTGTCAGTCCCACTGTTGCTTTTTTCTGTCACCACTTCCGGTTGAATTTCTTTCTTTTCCCCCTTTTTAGCTTGGATCATTTGCAATGTTTCAACGTCTCCATCCAAATTAGCAATTCTCCTGGTCCCGAGTACCACTTTTGGAGGACTTTGGTAAAAGAATTGGTCAGGGAGGAGTTTCTTCGGCGCTTCATTGATAATCCGATCTTCGGCAACCGGTCGTATTTGGTTAGGGGGCGGCGGAGGCGGGGGAATTTTCCTCAAATTATGAAGATTTTTCGGCGGTGGTGGCGGTTGCAACTTCTCGAAGAAACCGATGGGCCTGTTTGAGGGTCTCTCCAAAAGAGGTTGCCGGTTTAAGTAATGTGGTGGAACGTTGGACTTCATATTGGGTCGAAACTGGGGCAAAATATTGGGCAAATTGTCAATTCTTTTGTAGGCTATCTCAGGTGGCGGTCTTGGGGGCCTCACGTACTCGGGTTTGCCGGAGTAGAAATGTCCTGGCCGGGGGTCCCATGGGGGCCTTGGCCGGTCGATTCTTGACGAGGCGTTTGGTACCACGTCCTTTTCTTTAGGCGGGGTTAAATCGCTTGGGAGTTGATGGTACATGGGTTTGGAGTTTAATTGTAAAACTTCTCGGATTGGGGGTGGTTGAAGAGGTGGTATCAGGTTGCCGACTTGTTGTTTGTCATCAGGGAAGACAATTTTACCTCCGGTTCCTTTAGGATATTCAATTTTCTCATCTCCAATTTCGAGTTTTTCATCAACCACTTGACCAGGTACTTGTTTAAGACTGTTGATCGGTACTCCAATTGCAAGGGAAGCTTCTGAATTTTTCTGGGGTTGGATTGTGACTGAACTGGCTGCTGGTGGGTAATTTTGAGCTGGGGAGGCTTGTACGGTGTAACTGACTGTACCTTTACTATATTGGGGTTGTTGGCCATACAAGGGCCGGAAGGGGTTACTATCATAGGGGCTTTCTTTAAGTGAAGTACCAACATATTGATTACCTTCGACGTTTTGGTGGTTACCCACCACGAAAGAAACCATGTCTTGGTCTGGAGCTATATGGATGTTACTAGTACTGGGAGGTTGTTGTTTTTCATAACCGAACGGTTTTGGTACCACTTTTTCATTGTTCAACTGTTCGCGTAAATTCTGAGTGGCTACAATTATTGATTGGTGGTTATTTAAATTGGTTATGTGATTTTCCCCGAGAGGTAATGACGTCACTTTCATGGTACTGGTCGGAGGTTGAGTTGGGCGAACTTCCTTTTTCGTATCATTTTCTCTCTCTTCATAATCATATTCGTCATAGACTTGCCTTTTGGTCGTACTTGGTTGAGTGGTTGTACTTGTAGTTGTAGACTGGGTTGTACTAGTAGTAGTAGTTGGTGCAGTAGTGGAACTTGTAATATCATTTTGTACTTCTTTCACTGGTTTGTTTTCCATAGCTACATTATCCTCATGATTAATTTTTTCTTCATAATCTTCATATTCGTAAGAAGCTGATTCTAGACCCATACTTGACCCCGTCAGTACATTAGGTCCGGCATGGGAGTTAGGATAATGCAAGTCACTGGGTGCACTTTGCAAAGGTTTATCCGTTTTAATTTCCTTTGGTGGTTTTGGCTTTTCAGTCGTCGGTACAATTTCATCGTACTCTCCAAACAACTGTTCAAAAACACTCAAAACGCGTCGTGTTGTCGTACTTGGAGCTTTGGTCGTCAGATAAATATTGTTCACATTTTTTGTTGTTAAATAGATTTGATTTGGCCGTTCTGTCTCTTCGTAGTAATCTTCAAAATCTTCGTGGAAACTTGGATGGTTGATTTCACTATTCATCAGATTTTTAGATGTTGAAGTCAAGTAAACTTCTGTTGTAGTTTTAGGAGTTGTTGTAGTGGTTGTGGTAGTTGTCGTTTCCGTAGTCTTTGGACTACTGTAATAATTCGGCGATTTATAATAAGTTGGGCTTCCGGTCGGTTTAACGGTAGAAGTTTTAACACTGTAATCCTTATGATTGTGGTATTTGTTGATATTTCCTTGAATTTTGGTGTTGGCGTAAGAGCTTGATATCAAGGGGTAGACGTACTTGTCTGAATTGTATTTGACTGGTAGGTTTAAAAAGTCGTGGAAATTTGGTGTTAGTTGGTTGATATCACTCGGCCTGTGACTGCCTAAACTCCCATCTTTGCGATCGATATTGCTCTTGTCGTAGATGTCCGAACTGGGCTCTTCATCAACATAGTCGTATAAGTCATCATCTAGTCGCAATGTTGCAGTTTTACTATCGAAATCGATTTTTCCAGTCAGTGGATCTTTTTCTAAATAGAAAGGTTTTCCTTTGTTAAATATGTTCTCCGGTAGGTTGTACCCTGGAAGTACCAGCGGAGACGGATCTGGAATTTCTTCCGAATTTTGACCAGCTTTACTCTCCTATTAAAACACTATAAAAAAATTCTGTCTATATAAGAAAATATAAATACTAACCGTATTGTTCGTTATAGCAATTTCTTGGCTACTTGGTGTTGTAAGTTGATCGGTACTATTAGCAGATACATTTTTGTTGTCGAGATGTCCACCCATGAGACCAGCTCCATCAGTAAGAAGTGATTGGTACAAGACAACCGTTGGTACCGAGATTAAGATCTTTACAATGGTTAGCAAGACATACCGTAACTCCATGATTGCTACAAAAGAAAGGATGTAAAGACTGTGGGGAATTTGTTATCATTTAATTAGATAAATGGAGGGGCAAACAGTATGATGATTTAAATAGATGCCTTTCTCCACTCAAGTGGACGTTTTATTTTTTAAAGTTTCTACTCAATTTTGTACACAATACTATCTCTCATTTATAACTCCAATGAGAAATGGCACTCTTGGTCACCGTTTTCCCAAGTGAAATAAATTTGCTACTTTATGCCTATTTGTCCCATTTCTCACTGCAATAATTTTGGCTTGGCGACTGGGCGTCCAAGAATGTCAAAACGTAAGTGTTGGATAACGGGAGATGTTGATTAAAGGTGTGCTTCCAAACATGTTTAGGAAGTTTAGTTTGGTCAAGGTTACGTGATTACCTTGCTCGAGTCTATTGACCTACTTGTTTCATCACAGGGAAGTAAGTGGAATGTGCTTATTTAAAGCATTAAAATTAAAGTTATAATTAATTAATTAGTTTCGCAACAATTACAATAAAGCTTGGGCAATTATGAACAGTTACTTGTAAATGAATTTTCATAAGAATTAATGTTTCATTATCAATTGCAGTTGTAAAAGTAGCTGGCATTGCTATTGCAACTTTTGCATATTATGGGAAAATTGAATGGTTTGGAGAAAGTTTTTTCGGGGCTTGTTATGTGCATTACATTTAGGATTATTCATCGAGAACAATGCATCATTAATTTTAGGCCGGAGATCAACACAGATTCTTTTAGCCATTGTTACAATTGGTTAATGTAGCGTGGATTAACCTACTCCACTGACACTAGAATGGTGATCTTTTAGCAAAAGATGTAAATGAATCGTTTATTAATAGAAAACACCGTTACAGCTATATGGCCAAGTATGCAGGTGAAAGTAAAAAATTTGAATTCACAAAAGCCGTTCAACAACAAAAACTTGTCAACAATTATTATCGATGAGCAAATAAGATAAACAGAAAGTTCCGTTTTGAGACAAAACTTCCAACAATTTGCTAATAGCAAAAATCCGGCTTTGTGTAGTATCAATTAAAAAAATTGATTATTAGAGTGTTCCGTTTGTAGTTAACAATTACAGCCTTAACGGAATCACTCATTAATTAGCGATTTATGGAGTGCTTTGAACCTGGAGAAGTCTATTTAGCAAGTTGCAATTTTTGACAAATGTGTCCGAATTTTTTCAAAATGTAGATCCGGTGCAACGGTGTTGGATATGAGAACGAGTGCAAGAATGTGCTTTTTTAATTCAAAAGCTGGTAACGGGACTGGACAGTCTATGCAAATGTGTAGAGTTGTGAATAGTCTCTGCGACAACTCCTCGTGACATATATCGTTGATTTGGTCAAGAGTACCGCTACATTACCACGGCGTCTTCGCGAATATGTAGTTTACTGGTTCTTTGGGGCACACCGCAATATCAAGCACGAATATGTCATTAGTTTTGTGGAAAATTTGAACTACTCTGACTATTTTTTGTAGAGTTGTCTCAACAACTCGAAGCGAAGACAAACACAGGTCATTCGATTTGAAGCCTGTTCCACTTGATTTATTTGGCAAAAATGTTCGCGTGCTCGGTGTAAACGGTTTCATGTGAGGTCAATAGGAACGCGCGATGTTTCTGTTAAAAAACAACGAATGAAAAATTTAATAAGTCTGCGATAAATAAAGCAGAATTGACCTTTCCGCGAAATGTTTATGGTTTTTCCCAAGAACCAAAAAGGAAAAATCAAACTGTGTTTGTATCAAGACGCTGAAGACAAGGTGATTTCAAACTGTTGCGATTTAGTGTCAATAAACTATTGTTTGCTATTTCAATGTTACAGAAACTGAGAGTGGAAGAAAACAAGGCAAAATTCTACAAAACATGTTAATTAGTTCATTTGTTTTCGTAAATGTGTGTTGAAACAGTCATGATTGAAAATAAAGAATATTGACCTTAAGTTTTTTAGCTTTATGAGTCTGGAGGAATATTTTAATCATAAAATGATGCTATTTTTATAAAATAACAGAACGGTGTTTAATATTGTGATTTTCCAGTCGAAAATAGATAAAATCTTGTGGTTAATTCTGTAGAATTTTATGTAAAAATGAGAATGATTTAAATAAGGGGAAACAAACGTGGCATTCGGTTAGTCTACCCCTATTTTAACAGCCCCCAATGTGTGTAATGAGTCCCTACTTTTATTTTTATAGATTTCGACTATTCTAGAAAGCGGAGGTAAAAATTTTAGATATTTAGGCAGTCAATTGTGAATTTTTTATTTCCTCTACGCATTCATGTACTAATATTTTTTAAATTTGTTATTTCATGTTGTTTGCACCAAAAAGATTAATAAATAGGCTATAATTTTGAGAAACTGTTTTTCTCAAATTCATTTTAAGATTTTCGAAAAAAATATTAATAAATTCATTTCAACATATAAATCATTAATCAACTAATTAATTAAATAAAAAACATGGCATTTTTTTATAACAACTAAAGCTGGTTTACAGAAAATAACTTTTATGTACCTGATTTATTATTATAATTAAATTACATATTCAATGACGAATTAGTGTAATTTCTTTCCTTTTCTCTTAAATTTTTAATTTGTTTTCTGTTAGGTAACAGGTTTTAATAAATGTTTACTCTTGACCTTAGAATCGACTTTTTTACTTTTATGTATAATAAAGATAATGAGACAGTTTTAAAAATGATTATGATTATTAAAATGTTTATTTAACAAGTCAAGGCTTTTTGATTTGTGCAAAAAATGATGTTTTGCTGCACATTTTTGCCATAAAACTTACCACTTTTTGAAATAAATCGCTCAAATCACTTGCCACAACCTGAGATCATACTGAAGAAAGCGAAACCAAAGTCATTATTTGTATCGTTCACAAGCCAATACCTCACTGCATCACTTTATTATTCCAAAAAAAAAATATTGAAGAACAATTTGGTAAAGTTTGCGAAGCGAATTTACATGTCGAAAGGTCTACTATTTGCACTGTTACAGACTCTCTACAATAGTAGCAAGTAGATGTTAAGAAGGAAGTGTCAACCAACGTTCACTAATCGATCAAGAACTTCACCGAGAATGAAAACTATCGGAATGAGCGAGCTTTTTACTGCAACGAGTTCTTTACTCTGTTAGCCGGTAAATACAGTGACGTAGATGAAGAAATGAAGAAAGTGGTACCGGAACACACACCCTGCTCCTCGTGATTCATTTTTTATCCGGGTGCGCTAGATCCTCGGAATTCTCGATAGTACCGGGAGAAGAATCTGGTCTCCAGAGACATGGTGGGCGTTTCGAATGGTTTAATTTTATCATTTGAGCTAAAATTTCGGCGTTTGGTTGTAAACATGTGAGGAATACTGTTACGCCGAGTGCCCCAGTTCTACGCCTCTGGGTTGGTTCTACGGTACTTGCAGTAGGTATCAGGTACTGTTATTTAGCCGCAGGCCAACCTGCTATATCATTATCGACTTGACTTAATACACATTTTATTAATTATTCTCGTTATTGATAGTTATTTAGTGGCAGCAAAGTCTTAATTGTCGCTCTTCCTTGGTGCAGTTTCTGGGTCAATTTTTGGTTTCGTAACTTGCAGATTGCTATCTAAGCATTTCATTACCAACGCTCGCATTAAATGTGTATTTACCATGCTTGTCACGGGACTTTCCAAAATAAATGCATGCAAGTTGAGAAGTATTGTTATTTTTTTAATTAATATGACGGAAGTGGTGTAGGCATAGTCAGCCTTATTTAATATCGCAAGAGTTAAACTGATTCATTGCTCAGCGGTTATGTAGGTCACTGTGTTTAAATACTGCAAGTACTTAAAAATTTGTAGGAAACCGGAATGAGGACATCATATTCAGTAATTTACATTCTTTTTCTTTCATTATGTTGATTGATAATTTCTGGTGACGTACCTTAACAAAACTAAGTAGCAATAATAAACATAAAAAATGATGACATATTCAACTGGACTTTAATGGTACAAAACATACATACATGGTGGTAGCAGTTTTTGTGACTTTTCTGATATAATTAACTGTTAATTTATCTATGTACTCGCACCCATCAAGTTTTCACACTATTTTTAATAAATAGTGCATCGGACTGCTATGAAAATACAAGATTTTTATTTAGTTTGCATTTTTCTATTTAACCGTGAATCAAATGAATGATTTATAGAAAATGATATCATTTTATAATGTATTAGTTAGCCCACCTTTTTGAAGTCTCTTATTTTAAAATCAGGTAAAATTAGACCGATTTGTACGATAAATCACCATTGATATCCGCATACAACCATCTAACAGCTGCGGTTTGTACCATTTTACTTAAATTGTATTTCCAACTGCTCAAAAAATCATTTTAGGAATTACCAGTAAAATGTAATAGTCCTTTTCATTTTAAATTTAATTAGTATTTTCTCCACTAGTTTAAAAATTTACGGAAAAAAAAGTTTGAGTGAGTTACAAGAGATTTAACTTTAAGATAATCCTAGCTAACAAAGCTGTTTTCAAGTATGTAATTAATTTGAATTATTGCTATTTGCTTGTTATGTGTGCATTTTTATAAAAAATATAATAAATTAAAGTAGGTACCATTATACTTTTTAAACACAATGCTTGTCTTTGATATTTGGAAAAAAGTAAACTACGAACATGTTTGGAAGATTTTTACATTTACTAAAAAATCCAAAACAAAACATACCATATCTCTTTTACAAAACAAGCAAATTGTTACGTCAAAAAATGTTAAAAATGTTATTACCCGGTTAGAAAGAGAAATACAAGGTGGAATGGTTTTTTACGAGTAAAACAAGCTAATGGAGAAAAATTCTTGAAATATAATTAATAAATTGGCGGACGATGAAATTCGTTCTTGATTATTCTTAAAGTGAATAAAAAAATATTAAACTAGAAATATCTTGTTATTACAGTTTAATTCAATTGATTTTCCCATGTATTGAATGTAAGGCCGCGATTTTCACAACAAAGTCCAATTGGCAGTTTGATTTTTTGAGCTAGCGACCTAATTTTATTTTGAAAGTAGCGGCCTTCCTTTAGAATACATGGGAAAATCAATTGATTGAATATAGTGAAGTGGTTAACCAATTTCTCTGAGACATGAGTGTAGAAAATGCAAATAAGCTTCGATAGCTTGGTCGTGCCAGTAGAAACTAATCCTTCTGTTTTGTAAGAAATAAGAATAATATTATCAAAATGAAGAAGAATTTGGTTGCCCTATACAAAAATTAATTAAATTTTGAATTAATCACTCTTTCAAAATAGGTAGATAATTTGTGGACCCAAATTGAACAAGAAATAAGTTGAAATTTTATTTTATTATTTTTTTAAATATTGATCGGTTAGACCACAATTGATTGAAGTAAGAATAAATCTGCTTACTCCCTGCCCTGTTTTTTTTTATAAAAATATTTTTTTTTTAAATATATTTTATAATGGTTTACAGAAAAAAAGATAATTACTCGTATACAATTTGCATTTTTTAGGGATTTAGTAAACTTAAACAGTTTACTAATTTATTTTATTGTTAATACTGAAATACTATGTTAATTTAGTGTGGATATTTTGTAAATGCAAATTTTAGATATTTTAATTTTATTAATTTGCTTTAGGTAGCGTAATTTTTTCTACAGGAAGCTGTATTTTAAAATTACTATACTAGTTAATTATGTAACTGATGTAGAGGAATTATATATGAAGTTTAGGATAATTTATTTTCAAATTATAACGTAATATAATAATTATAACCTATTGTTTAATTCCCTAGTAATAAAATATTATTTAGCGATACACATACTCTAGAAATTTTGAATCCAATCTTTTTGAGATGAGCTTTGAAGGCTTTGAAACTTAATCTAATACTAGCGAGGTTTGGCCTTGCCTAATAATTCAGGAGTATAAAAGGTTAGAGTGATTATTCTAATTTCGTGAAAATCGGTATTTGAGTTGCTACGTATACAGTATGTCTCCGGACTGTGTTTACAAGAGGAAATCTTTTTTATCTTTCATTTTAAGCCAAAACTGCAAAAGAATAACATTTTTTGTTTCACCTGAAACGAGCAAATCTGTAATTAAAACTCAATCCGGGGACATATTTTATTTATGAAACATAAATTTCTACAAAAGCAACAGACACTATTTAGATTATTCACTTAAATGTTTTCGAAAGATCGACTAGAGTAATAAGTAAATTTATTACTATGGTTATGGTACTTTTTATATTACCGAAGTGAAATGAAACAGACAGTTAATAAATTGAAGTAATGAAACATATAAATTTGATATGATTTGAGATTAACAGAAATTATACATTAAACTGACAAATGTAATTTGGCCATTTATCAATTTGATTGCCTACAACTCATATTCACCTCTTTAAAAAGAAAATGGTGCCAAAATTGTGGACTACGTAGGTACATGAACAATAAACCTAAATAAAAACTTGTTTCTTATTAACATTGTTACCAAAACAAACGGGGTTGAAATTTGAATAAATGTATTTATTTGTATTCGTAAATGAAAAAAGCACGTCGGTAGAAATATAAATTAATAATTCATCATTATGTTTATTTCATTTTTTTGAAAAATGGACATTTGGTCAATATTCAACATAATTGATTTGATTTATTTATAGCATTTCAAGGAACAGAAAATTCAATTAGACATGTTTTCAGTACGTCAAGGAACGTAATGACCATGTAGTAAAAATAGTTGTTAATATTTTTATCTTGTTATGATTGTCAAAATTAAAGAACTACATTAAATCTATTTATAATATTTATGAATGAGGTATTTAAATTGCACTGTCGGTTAATTTTGTTTTTATTTGGTTTATTACCCAAAGCTAAACACAGAATATTGAGCTTGCCACATTCATTTTTTTTTCTTGCGTATGCATCAATGTAGGCAACCAACAATTCACAAATTAAAGTTTAGGGATTTGTTATAAAATGTTTAAAGTCATGATAATGCATCGACATCGGGTCACGTGCCAACAACTTTTTAGGAAGCAATAATCATGTTAATCAATACTAATTAGCTTGTAAAATTAATTGAGCAATAACGAAATTTTAAATATTATTTTAATAGCGCTTAAACAATAAATTAATTTACTTCGAATAATGATATCCAGGAAAGGTGGGTAAATACTCTTGTTTATTAACTCAAGTGTTTGTAATTCCTTTTAAAGAAATAAGTGGTGCACTTATCCATTTGCGAACACAATAACAATAATTACGTAACATTTATTAGAGTCACTTGTATTTTCATTTTTCCGCTTTGTAAATTTCTCGTCTGAAACAAAGTTTTATCAGCGCGATTTTTCAATAAAATCATTCGAATCAAGGTGTATTTGTTTATAGCAAATCTCGCATTAGATGTTAGTGCCAAGGAAATGTTAAATATTTACACAAAGTTTTAGTGCATAAAGCAACATGATAAACTCTTCATTTTTGTACTAATGAGATTGGAATAGGAAATCACCAGAGGTAGTCCAATAATAATTCAGCATTGGGCTAAATTTAAATTGTCTCTGACTGTCCAAGTTACAGCATGCTCAATGTTGTTCCTTCAGTTGTGACTCGGAACTTGTGAGCTTATGACTCCCTAAGCTATGATAGTGACAATAACAATGACACCTCGTCAGTTGTGACTTGAACGTGATCAGTGTTTGATTTTATTTAAACTCTATTCATTCATAATGTGTGCGGTAGAAGTTTCAGTGAGAAAAAAGTGAAGGTACAGTAATATCTAACAATTAAAACTCGTTACAATGATCTTGCAAAAATGTCATTTTTCGACCCACGATTTACGACATTTATTATTAAAGCGTGGGTACTATATCACTATAGCAGTAATAAGAGATTACCTAGTGAAAATCGGGAAATGGGAGTGCTTACCTAACGAACCTCAGTTTTCCTATTAAGAAAATATGCGGGGGAAAATAAGAAAATTTTGCAAGAAACGGGTTCCAAAAAATTACATTGTTCAGTTTCAGAATCAGAACGATGGTACTCGAGTCAGCGATGTTTCCACATTTAAAAAGTTTTGGTGTTCCAATAAAAGAATTATAATTATAAACATAAAGTAAGT